CAAAAGAGAAGACCCATGAAAATAAGGATACATAATTCAGGACAATTTTGGGAGAAAATCAAATTGGCAGGGGTTTACAAATTTATCACTGGGTACGAGACAAGACTGACCACTCATGCAGCAAACCCATCTAGATTTGGAACAAAAACATGGTCATTTCTCACAACCACATCCCCAAACAACCGATTCCTTTTTCCCGACTGGAATAGACATTTCCTATCAAAAATGAAAAAAAAATAACCTTAATGCCTAACTATTATAACAAAACATTGAACAACACAGAAATATATGTATAGAAGCATGAACATAGAAACCTCAAAAATGCATCAACATCCGAGTAAACCATTAGCTTTCCATATCTTAAAAGTTGCATCTCTGGCATATATCAACTTCTGAGATCCTGATGGATGAAGGCCTATATACTATGGCCAAACGAGTTCATTTACATAGCGTAATATAACATGTAACTCTTCAAACCAAACAACATACAGCAAAACATGTTCAATTGAGCACCTTTTCACTGGCTAAAGGTCAATGAGAGGTGTTTTTCGTATACAGATTTAAAAACATAGAATCTATTAGATACTAACTACCAGTTTTACTGTAGCCAGGGCTACGTTCTAACTATTGATACCACAAACAAATACTCAATATTATTAGGTCGTTAATGGTCAATATCTTATCTTAGAATACTCTTATCTTAGACGAGTATTGTATCAAAAATGTAGAACTTGACTTATTTGTTTTGGCTTAAAATTGTCTGATAAAGAGGTCAAATTATTAGTGTTACTATTCATCCTGATCTCTTGAAATCCGACTTCCTGTTCAAAGACCATGTCAACCCAATTAAAACGTGTCTCTGATAAGTAGTGTTATATTGTTGATAACCTTATTGTTTCAATAAGGTGTGTGAATGTGGTACATATAACTTATAATCAACAAGTATTATCAAAGAGTACTAAATTGCTCTGTGAGTCTGAAAGCTCAGATATATTTCCAAGATAATCACAGGGCCGTAGGGAGAGGGGGTTCGTAGGGCTCGTGCGAACCCCCCCCCCAAATCTTGCCTAAAAAAAATTCAAACCCACCCTTTCTGGCAATTATGCAAACCTCCAAACTTTGAGTAAAATTTTTGCAGTCCTTCAATAATTAATCGTTTTTGATTACCCAAAGACAATTGAGTTATATGTCAAGAAGAAAAATATATGAGATTTATAGCTTCATTTTGAGTAAAAAAGATTTAAAAAAAACAGAAAAACAAAAAACTTCTAATCAATAATGGGCGATAATAGGTATGCTCTTTGCACTTTAGGCCTGAAATTCTGAAGTAATATCTTCAAAATGAATTCAAATGCACAAACAAAGCATACCTACCAAGTTGAAATTATCTGATTGTTGTACATAACGTCAAAATGGTCTAATTTTTGATATAAATCTGCAGAGAATTTTGTTGTGACACTGGGCCGTGATGCACCAAAATTGTGAACGCTAGAAAATTCTTACTTACAACGTTCTTATTTTTTCATGCTGTAGTTAGATCAGAGAGCAAGTATAAAGATCACTCACACAGAGTTGTTTACTGATTTTTGGCTCCTATTTATTTATAAAGCTCGTTGTACAAGCGATTTAAAATTGGGGGAGGGGCAGGGGGTTCTATGTCTGCTAATTTCTGTGAATTTGTGGTATGTTGGGTCCAAATTTAAAAAAATCTGCCCAAATAAATGAACTTGGTCTTGGGATATTTTACCTATTTTTTGCTTTTGCAATTGTTTGAGATTTGGTAAACTTGAGAAAATTTGGTAAAATTTTAAATTGTAGCGAATGGGCAAAAATTATGAAAATTTGGCAACAATGAAACTTTGGCAAAATTTATCCATTATTGGCATTTAAGTAAAATTGGCAAAATTTAAGTAAAATTTTAGAAACTTGTCAAAAATTAATTAAATTAGATTAAATAAGATTTAAATTAAAATTAAGAAAACTTTGCAAAATTTAAGCAAATTTGGCAAAATTGAGGTAAATTGGCAAACATACAGCAAATTTGGCAGAATTTCAGCAAATTTGGCAAATTTTCATCAAATTTGGCAAAATTTCATCAAATTTGGCAAAATTTCATCAAATTTGGCAAAATTTCATCAAATTTGGCAAAATTTAAGCAAATTTGGCAAGATTTAAGCAAATTTGGTAAAATTGAAACTTTGACAAAATTTAAGCAAACTTGGCAAAATTTAAGCAAATTTGGCAAAATTTAAGCAAATTTGGCAAAACTTAAGCAAATTTGGCAAAATTTAAGCACATTTGGCAAATTTGGCAGAAAATATTAGAACCCCCCCCCTGACAAATCCTGGCTACGCCACTGAATCATTTATACAAACAAAAAGTAGCTCTTTAGAATAAAGTTCAACAGTATTGTAAATTATAATTATGAGACAGTGCTGTGATTAGAAAAATCAAATAATTCATTCTTGTGTTTCACTTGGAATCAGTTTTCTGACCATCTCAATCTACTCATGTTTTCAAAATGTTGCCCTTGGTATCAGTATGAGCCCTGAGAAATGTTAGAAGCTATTTCCTGTATTGCCATTACAAACTCGATTACTATGCCATTTTAACATATCTGACCTTCTATTTCTTAGTTATCCACCATTAAGACTGCATATAATAGACTTTAACAAGTTTGTCCTATTTAGAATTGGATTAACAATCAAGGTCTCCTTGAGGGTTTAATATCCTTAAGTACATTTATAAAATTCAACAATAAAACTTATATTCAGTTCTGATTCTACCCTTTGCATTCGTTTGACTTCACTTCTTAAAAGAGAGCTTCGTCTTCACTCTTTCAAACTAAAATAAACCTGTGAACTCACCGCGCCAATCAGTGTTCGTCGGCCAAATTTGACCGACGTTCTTTAAATGGTCATTCCTTCTGACGTCATCGTTGAGCCCGAAATTGACCAATGAATTGCGCATATTTAATTAGAACGCATTTGGCGCATGTTTCTTCAAGCTCACTGATTGGTGGAAGGTCAGCGCGAAGGTCAAAAGTGATTTACCCAAACTGTCACCGGTACCCGTCGTGGGGGCGGGGCTACTAAACTGTAATATGGTCTCTACTAGGCAGAGTGTAGTTTAACTAGACTCTGCACGCAGGGTATTCTGATTCTGAAATGTTCCAAATTAGTTCCTGCACAAGAGCATGAATTACCATTTTAGACCCTCCTAAAACTTATGAGACAAAAGTGAGAAAAAAACTATTCAATTGTTGTCATCTCAAACAGATTTGTGTTTTGGCATCTGTCTGTATAGGTGCCTCAAAAATCTTGTCATAAGATTCCAGGAAACCACCTACCTAGACTCAACTTGAAATATTTACAGATGGAAAAACAGACCAATGCCAAGATCTGATTTGGTTTAAGGCATGTTGGGTAAATTATATGGTAGGGATTTTGAATATTTCGATAAAAAGTTTGATATCTATCACTGTCTTGATAGGACAATTTGCGACTTTGTGCTTTCTCATATCGCAGGCAAATAGAATATTGGTAACTGCTACTTGCACTAGCAACAATAACAATCTCACATCCTGCCCTAGTAAACCAAGAAAGTAGAAAGCACTTCAAAATACAATAAGAATTGAATTGCAAACTTCTACAATAAGGCTAGTCATGAAAGGCTTAACTTGCCTACCTTGTACAAGACTAAAATTATAAATATGGAACCTTAATAGTTGAATTCTAGAATTTGTTAAAACTTCCCAATACTCCAATAAGCGATAAGGTTTAGTTTAGTTTAGTTTAGTTACCTCCCTTACAGTTTTCCTTTTGAAGAGCTCTCATGTAGGGTACAACTTCGTCTACATTCAGGTTCTTTCACATTGGATTACACAGGGGTGCGATTTTCAATGCCGCACTGAAGCTTTATTAAACATATATGGAGAGTTGCATTTGCACAAATGATAGATATATGTATGTAATTAAGATATACAAAGATGCTTTTTGAACTAAAATCCCAAATCCGAAGAAATCTGTAGTTGAAAATGCCGTCCAATTCCAGGGACATCACTGATTTCCCAGAAATTGCTCAGACGCCATTGAAGATCAAAAAAATATAAATAAATATTACTTAGAATCTCCGATTATCTTTTTGATTGTTGAATAGATTGGATCATATAACTATGCTTGAGGGCTGATGGTAGATCGGAAGCTGAGAAACTGTCAATATGTCAAGATTCATGCTAGGTTTATCAGAATATGTTGAAATTTTGTTTGAGTAATTGTCTAGCATTTTGATGCTACACATACATATGATGTAATCATCGACTGATGAAATTAGCGGATCGTAACCTTTGACTTTGCAATCTCTGGACGTTTAGAGTAATCGAGTCGTTCGGCGAACCAATAAAAATTTGTCACTTCCAAAGCGATGCATCATGGGAGATATCTTATGTAAATTACCACCTGAACTCTTATCGCGAATTGGAGTATTGGATTCATCATGAATATCATTATCAATTAATCTTTGAAGTGAAATTCATTACAAGTATAGAATAGAATGATGATGTATTGGAAGTAACATGGAGATATTTAATTTTGTTACTCACTGAAAAGTTGTAACTGTATAGCCCTATTGCCTATTATCACTTCATATGCCCTGAATAATCTAAAGGAACATTATGTCGGAGAAACTGACATGTTTCAAAGTCAATAAAAGATGTATGTTAACTTTGTTCTACGGCGGCTGTAGCTTCCCTAAATAGAGAGAAATATGCAGCATAAAATATAGGGATAAGCAATATGATGTCGATTTTCTATAGATTTTGTGAAGCTACGGCCATCGTAGAGCAAATGTGACTGAGGCTAAAGTTAACAATTTACACATAACCTTGATGTTTAATGAAAACAAAGGAGAGAATTGTGCAATTTTTACCTCCTTTGTTGTTCCTTTAACTATGACACACTTGAATGATAACCCCCCTTTCATCAAAAAAATTGTGGTCTTACCTGGGTTATTTGCCTCCTTCTCGAGAGTGTCAACTTCTGTACATCCAATTAAACTCTGCTTAAGGACTTGAGAGAGAAACTTTGACTGAGTTGGTGAAATTTTCCTAAGCAATGAAAATAATGCCACTGTTTGTTCACATTCGTTCCATGCTCTGAACCAGCCAGTAACTGTATTTACTTGGTCTCGGAACATGTGCGTCGACTTCATGATGTCGTAAGTCATTGAAATCTCAGACGATGTCATCAATGATTTGTGAAATAATCCGAAGAATATATGATGTATTTTCTAGCCCATGATGTCATTAGGCACATCTATTACGGACAACTTCATTTTGAAGACAACATATTTCCGACTTCTGAAATATAAATTAGAGATATGACAGCACCTGGTGTGTTATCAAATGTGATGATTAAAATAGATGAAACTAGAGTTGCATAAGTTAAATGTCCCCGAGAAAATAATTAAAACAGATGTTGAAAATCAATAATGATGTGAGGACTGTGAATATATATGATAGTGAAAAACCATACAATGATAAATTACCAGTCAAAAGAACAAAGTAGAGATACAAAAACAATGAAGTATAGAAAATATGAATGTTAACTATAAATATCTGAAAAAAACCAAGCAAGTAGGTATATCATCCAGTTACAGTAATATAGAACTACATGCTCAATATATGATAACTGGCTGCTAATGTGGCATAGATAAGCTTCAGTCAACTACTGATGGTCATCCCGAAGCACCTCAACAAAACTGAACATTCCCACTTTTATTTTTAGTCCCAGCTGCAGTCATACTGATATTAAGCAATGTACATGTACTTTTAATGAAATTTTGTTGTTTTTGTTTTTTGTTTTCACAAATTTAATCACAATCACATCAAAATTGACAAGAACAATAGAAAGTTATTTATCTGGAAAGTGATAAAGTCAGATAAAAGAAACATGAGGAATAAACCAAATTGTTGATGTCCAAGGATTTTTATTTGCCTCGAGTCAGCTTTGAGTAGTTCCATTAGATTACAATAATATGAGATCTTTAGGGCCGATCTATCTCAACTGTGTGTTAAATGTCGTGATTGCAAAATTTGGCTGCCTTTTTTAGGACAAAAAATCAAAACACACAAGCAGAGATCAGGGTACCTTTTTTGTCTTACCCTTTGCATTTGTTTAACTTCGCTTCTCAAAAACAGAGCTTCATTTTTACTCTTTCAGTTTATAATAAATCTCTGATCTCACCGAACCAATCAGAGTTTGTCGGCGAAATATGGATGACTTTCTATATATGGTCATTTCATCTGACGATAGCAAGCATTTAGCAAGTTCCTTCCAGCTTGCTGGTTGGTTGAGAAAGGATCAGTCTGGTAGGTTAGAAATAATTTATGACCAAACTTGTCACAAGAACTGGTCGTGGGGGCAGAGCTGCTAAAGTGTAATATAGTCTATACTTGGCAGAGTGTAGTTTATAACTAGACTATGCACACAGAGTATTTTATTCTCGACTTGTAGGTCATAGTATTTTATTTTTTATTAATTTAAAGATCTAATAGCAAAGGTTTTGCAAAAATAAATCAATGCAGTGTAAAACAAATGTATGTATAATGAAGAAATAAATCCGAAAAAAATAGATATGTGTTTGTAATATTGGTATTAACTTAAGATTAAAAAGTGTCACTATCTCTTTCATTTTTCAACAAATATAGGCTCACGTGACATATGACGCGGGGCAGTCAATTTTGATCTATCGTAGACCATATCAGTATCAAACTGCCGATATTTCAACCTTGTCTTGCGAGGCCATTTTTATTTGAAACATCTTGAATTTGGTGTCAAAATAAAGCTGGTCACGCCCACTTTCAGAGTTATCAATGAATCATTTACTACGACTACTATATTCATTTAGGAGGCGTGTAAAGTTAACCAATCAGAAAGACAATTGCTCCATATATGACAGTTCATTAACATATTCAGTGTTTACTATTGTTTTTCGCGTCATGACAACACGAGTAGTAACCAATCAAAATGCCGTATTTTATCACGTGAGTTCAGAGTGACATGCACGACATGTAAGTTTAGTCTGAGCTGATCGCGATGTTGAACAATTTCTTCTCGGAATTTGTCCAGAGAAATCAGCGATTCTAAATTAAGGTAGGATCTCCCATTTCTTCCTGTACAAGTTTTAACTTATCTCTATCGAATCCTAAAGTTTTGGATGAAGATGTGAAGCATACGTTTAAAAACGAAGCGATTAATTTGACGATCTGATTTTGCAATTTGCAATGGCCAATTTACTGCAAGTCTGCGTGTATTTGACAAGAGATAGCGCCAAGTCTTGTATCCGAATGCTTGTTAAGCCACTCAAAAACAAGATCCATATTTTCAAAATTTGATAACTTTGCAGAGAGCCCGTTTTCATAACCTGTTTTCCGCGTCTAAATTCAAACTGAGTAGGATTATAGGATCGCTGGGATTCTCAGTCAATGGCAACGGGTTCATTCCAGAACGCACATTTTTTTAGTTGATTCTCCGTCATAGTACTTGTCTAAAGTCCATATCTGCTCTTTTACTGGCATACTTGGACATGTTTCCCCTCCTTAAATGGTCCTCCTTAAATAACACCCTCTCGCCGATTTATATATAGCCATTTCCCAGAACCCGGGAGTCAGAATCGCTGATGTTTGCCATATTGAACATGTTGAAATATGTACTGTAATATCTGTAATACTAGGCATTGCCTGCTACGCGTAAGGGTCACGTGACTAGCGCGATACAGGAAAAATGGGGAATTTCGAAACAACAATTTTTGGGCACTTTTATTGCAAATTTCAGGTATTTATAAGTGTTTGTGGTATAAAATATAATCCACAGACATAAATGAACATCCAAACTACATATTTTATTACGTTTTGGAGCCTTTTTTGCTTTTAAAATGACATCTTTAAAAGTGTTTCATCAATGTACTGTCAGCCCTACGAGATGGAGAAACTTGCTTAATTGCGCGGTCTACCCAAACAGTTCCTCAGATGGCTATTGAGCCAGGTGTGTTCAGTTTACTCGAGTCTCTAGCCAATTCTTGCATTTATGTCCACCGGGTCCAAACATGCCATGTTCTGCCATGTTGCCAAGTGGTAATATCTACAAGATGCAGTCACTTGGCATATACTTGTTTGTAACATGGCAATATTTTAGCAAGTACCTTTCTGACAAGATGCTACTGGTCTAGCATGTGAAAGACAGAGCAACTGGCTCAACATGGCATGTTGAATGTGCAAGTGATAATTCAAGATTTATTCTAGATTGGAACATGTACTATTTTGGTTGGACATGGCATCTTGTTTTAGCATGTGTACATGTATCAGAATTTGTGAGTACTGCCATGTTCGCATGTTGGATGTGCATGTTGATTTATACATGTTGCATTGGCATACTTGCCATCTTATATTTGCATGTGTGCCAAGTACCTTGATTCAAGTGATCCCAAGTTCACAACTTACCAAGTACAGCATGTTGTCATGTGATAAATATGGCTATTGGCTGTAGCATGGCATGTTGGATGTCCATGTTATAATAATGTCTATTAATGCTCAACATGGTTCCACTTGCCATCTTGTATTAGCATCTGTACCATGTACCAGAAATGTTGGTGGTGCCATGTGTGCATGTTGCCAAGTTCAACAGACATAGTCATTTATTGATCCTGGCAATGATCTTTAATTCATACATTGTATATGTGTTGGATGAACATTGTGTCAATGATACATCACACTGATATTTTACATTTTCTTATGCTGTATTTAAAACTTGACTCATAACTTATATTTTTGCATTTGTCATGTTGTTTACATTTTGTATTTTGTAGTTAGTTTAGTCTAAGTTATTTTTGTATATTGTACATTGTACTGACTAATATGTCATTGTGATGACATCTGAGTCAATAAAAGATGTACGTGAACCGTGAACGCTGCTCCTGCCAAGTGGACACTTTATCATTAGGGTTTGGTATGTGATCACCGCTCCTGCCAAGTTGACCCTGTATCATTAGGGTCTGGTACGCAATCGCCGCTCCTGCCAAGTTGACCTCGTATCATTAGGGTCTGGTACACGAATGCCGCTCCTGCCAAGTGGACCCTCTATCATTAGGGTCTGGGACACGATCGCCGCTCCTGCAAAGTGGTTCCTGTATCATTAGGGTCTGGTACGTGTCCTGTGTCCTCAGTGGGTAGGTCAGGGTTAGGTAATCATTTAAAACCCCATCTGGTTTAATAGGGTTGGTTAGGGTGGGTTGAGGTTACGGTTTAAACTCATTTCACTTTGCAGGAGCGGCGTTCATGTGCCAGACCCTATTGATAGCGATCGCTGCTCCTGCAAAGTGAACCTTGTATCATTAGGGTCTGGTACACGAATGCCGCTCCTGCCAAGTGGACCCTCTATCATTAGGGTCTGGTACACGATCGCCGCTCCTGCCAAGTGGACCCTGTATCATTAGGGTCTGATACGCGTCCTGTGTCCTCAGTGGGTAGTTCAGGGTTAGGTAATCATTTAAAACCCCATCTGGTTTAATAGGGTTGGTTAGGGATAGCTGCTCCTGCTAAGTAGATCCTGTATCATTAGGGTCTGGTATGCAAACGCCGCTCCTGCCAAGTGGACCCTGTATCATTAGGGTCTGGTACACAATTGCCGCTCCTGCCAAGTGGATCTTGTATCATTAGGGTCTGGTATGCGAACGCTGCTCCTGCCAAGTGGACCCTGTATCATTAGGGTCTGGTACGTGTCCTGTGTCCTCAGTGGGTAGGTCAGGGTTAGGTAATCATTTAAAACCCCATCTGGTTTAATAGGGTTGGTTAGGGTGGGTTGAGGTTACGGTTTAAACTCATTTCACTTTGCAGGAGCGGTGTTCATGTGCCAGACCCTACTGATAGCGATCGCTGCTCCTGCAAAGTGAACCTTGTATCATTAGGGTCTGGTACACGAATGCCGCTCCTGCCAAGTGGACCCTCTATCATTAGGGTCTGGTACACGATCGCCGCTCCTGCCAAGTGGACCCTGTATCATTAGGGTCTGGTACGTGTCCTGTGTCCTCAGTGGGTAGTTCAGGGTTAGGTAATCATTTAAAACCCCATCTGGTTTAATAGGGTTGGTTAGGGATCGCTGCTCCTGCTAAGTAGATCCTGTATCATTAGGGTCTGGTATGCAAACGCCGCTCCTGCCAAGTGGACCCTGTATCATTAGGGTCTGGTACACAATTGCCGCTCCTGCCAAGTGGATCTTGTATCATTAGGGTCTGGTATGCGAACGCTGCTCCTGCCAAGTGGACTCTGTATCATTAGGGTCTGGTATGCGATTACCGCTCCTGCCAATTGGACCCTGTATCATTAGGGTCTAGTACGCGTCCTGTGTCCTCAGTGGGTAGGTCAGGGTTAGGTAATCATTTAAAACTCCATCTGGTTTGATAGGGTTGGGGTTGGTAATTAGGGTTAGGGTTAAGGCTACGGTTAACTCATTTCTCTTTGCAGGAGCGGTGTTCATGTGCCAGACCCTACTGATAGCGATCGCTGCTCCTGCCAAGTAGACCCTGTATCATTAGGGTCTGGTACGCGTCCTGTGTCCTCAGTGGGTAGGTCAGGGTTAGGTAATCATTTAAAACTCCATCTGGTTTAATAGGGTTGGGGATGGTTAGGGTTAGAGTTAAGGTTAGAATTAAATTCTTTTTTTTATATTTTGACATAGAAAAATTTATTTATTTATGGAATTCATTTTTTAATTTATTTTACATTTTTGACACACATATTCATGGTCTTAGGGTTAAATTCATTTTTTGGGGTAAGGGTTAAATTCATTTTTTGAATTTTTTCATTTCTCGTTATCAAATTTCCCGCCATTTTTCAAATAAAAGTTGAATTTTTTTTAATGATGCGCCACTTCAATGGTTTTGCATATCAAAAATATTTTGCAACTAACGTCAGACCTGCCAACCTGAAATTGGTTTTGAACGAGGTCATGGTGAATAAAAGTTAAATGAAAGTTCATTTAGTCAAATGAAATGGGAAAACAAAAGAATATGACAAAAATTAATGAGTAATCAGGCTGATTATTAAAAGCCCATGATGTAAGTTGGCCCTGAACAAGTATTATGAGGGTTCCTTTGCTCGCTCAGTTTTTACAGAAAATATACATTTCCCTGCTGTAAAACTGAAAGTAAAAGAAAGAAGTCCAATAATCAAGGTTACTGACTGTAGATTTAGCTCAAACACGGTAGATTAAGGGAGATTTCAGTCAAAAATACGGGAGGAAAGAAGAAATTTTGAAATACATTTTTCTCTGAACCATTTTAAAGCATTGACGAGTTCATTTCTCGCCTATTCTTGAACCAATTTTCTTAATTTTTCACCAAAATCATGTGAGGATGAATGCTATGCATTGGTTTGAATTATCGCTTATTAGAATATATATGTGATCTCTAAAAGTTAGTTATAAAAGTTAGTTTTATATAAATTCATAATTAGCAATTAAAATAAGTTTCACATTCTTCCATATAACACTGAGTAAGACTACAGTATAAGCCAAAGTGATTTAGACCTTATATGGGGACTTAAAGTGCTATTGATTATATAAATTCATAAAGATGTGCATTTATGGTCTTTCTACAGAGCAGAAAACTCATGGGCAATGGTAAATGTTCTATATTTGCAGATATACAGATTTTCAATTCTACATAAATACAGTTATATTCTTATTTCTACTTATTCAAGAATTCAAGATGTTTCTGACCAGGGAGCCTACTTAGTGAACTAACTGACACTCAGATTGGAACATTAATACAAGGATACTATAATGTTCACATGTGTTTAGAATTGTGTTAGAATAATTGTATATGATACTGTAATATGCTGTTCATAGCTTTGTAACATTAACAAGTTTATTACTTCACAATTATTCCATAATAAAATCATCTCTACATAATAAATTATTCTCTGCAATCTATTTTTGTTTTATGAGAACATAAAGTTAGTAATCTATTATTATCATATTGAAACATTTTACATGTGTGAATTCTAAGGTATAATGCAAAGGAAAAGTCAAATCCCTCATGGAATTCTTTAAATGCTTCCCTCCCTGGTAAAAGCTGACTACTGGCCTGAGAGTGGCAGAATACAAATGTAGTCAGTGCCCGGGAGTTAGTGGTCAGCTAACCAAGAATATTGTAGAGGATGATTTCTTCATATGCTTACTACAAAGCTCAAACTTATATACCAATTTACCATTTTTTAAATTACATTTTCCAAATTTGTGTTCATTTCATTCGTTTTACGTTTCATTAAACAAACTTTTTAGTTTAAAAATATATTTTATCATTTAATTTCCCATTCCAAATAAACAAACGTGTCATTTTGGAACTTGATCCACATGCTGCACATGAGAGATGTATAGTTGAAACTTGGCAAGATGCTATTCGAACATGCAAGATGGCAGCATGTCACTTGCTAACTTGGTCCACATGGAGCACATGCGAGCTGTATAGTTTAAACTTGGCAAGATGCTATCTGTACATGCAACATGGTACCATGTCACTTGGCAACTTGGTCCACATGCTGCACATGCGAAATGTATAGTTTAAACTTGGCAAGATGCTATTCGAACATGCAACATGGTAGCATGTAACTTGCTAACTTGGTCCACATGCTGCACATGCGAGATGTATAGTTGAAACTTGGCAAGATGCTATTCGAACATGCAACATGGCAGCATGCCACTTGGCAACTTGGTCCACATGCTGCACATGTGAGTCGTATGGTTTAAACGTGGCAATATGCTATCTGTACATGCAACATGGTACCATGTCACTTGGCAACTTGGTCCACATGCTGCACATGCGAGCTGTATAGTTTAAACTTGGCAAGATGCTATTTGTACATGCAACATGGTACCATGTCACTTGGCAACTTGGTCCACATGCTGCACATGCGAGTTGTATAGTTTAAACTTGGCAAGATGCTATTTCAACATGCAACATGGTAGCATGTCACTTGCTAACTTGGTCCACATGCTGCACATGCGAGACGAGATGTATAGTTTAAACTTGGCAAGATGCTATCTGTACATGCAACATGGTACCATGTCACTTGGCAACTTGGTCCACATGCTGCACATGCGAGTTGTATAGTTTAAACTTGGCAATATGCTATTTCAACATGCAACATGGTAGCATGTCACTTGCTAACTTGGTCCACATGCTGCACATGTGAGATGTACGGTTTAAACTTGGCAAGATGCTATTTGAACATGCAACATGGCAGCATGTCACTTGCTAACTTGGTCCACATGCAGCACATGCGAGATGTATAGTTTAAACTTGGCAAGATGCTATTTAAACATGCAACATGGTAGCATGTCACTTGCTAACTTAGTCCACATGCTGCACATGCGAGATATATAGTTTAAACTTGGCAAGATGCTATTTGAACATGCAACATGGCAGCATGTCACTTGCTAACTTGGTCCACATGCAGCACATGCGAGATATATAGTTTAAACTTGGCAAGATGCTATTTGAACATGCAACATGGTACCATGTCACTTGCTAACTTGGTCCACATGCTGCACATGCGAGATGTATAGTTTAAACTTGACAAGATGCTATTTGAACATGCAACATGGTACCATGTCACTTGCTAACTTGGTCCACATGCTGCACATGCGAGGTTTATCATTAAGACTTCGAAAATTTTGAATATGGGACTTGGCATTATGTGACTTGTAACTTGGTCCACATGCTGGGCAACATGTATACTTCGTACTTGGCAAGATGCTAATTGTACTTGGTGCACATGGCATGTAGTACCCCGGTGGCCTTAGCTGAATTCTTGGCAAGTAATTCCATCTGGAACACTGTGAACTATTGTAAAATTTCTAGTCATGGTTCAATAAATTTAATTTATATTCTAAAAAACGTCATGTTAATATTTCATGAATTGAAATGGAACTGGCTCCTTGATGAGATATTGCATGATTTATTCAGGATTTCGTCTAAAATTAAACAAACCGCTTCAAGAAAAATGGCGATATTCAAAAACTTGATGAAATGTCATTAACGTCTGACATTAGTAACTGGCTGTAAATTCTAGGTTAGCGATCCAGAAGATGTGAACGTATATAGGTTTATCACTTCATGTGTGTTTTGGAATTTTTTGGTGAGGTAATAAGACCAAAACTCGCAATTCAAATTGTCATGTGGAAAACATTTGATTTCAAATTTCATGATTACGACATGACCTGTATACAGCGACATGACTCACATCTGGCAGAGTAAAAAACATGCAGGGATTTATCTTTGGACGAACAGTCACAATATTGGAGTGGCCTTAGAAGAAGGTAATGTTTAGTAACCTTGAACCGATGTAAGAAATACTTGTTGAATTCCCTTCATATATTGAGCAGATATTCAATTCGTCAACTTATATTACACTCTCAGCAAAATTTGGTGAATGTTACTGGGTGAGTTACAATCCAGGACTAAATTAGGCTTGGCCACTCCCACATTTCTGTCCTTCCTTTGTCATTCACTTTGTTTATGTATGGATACAAATTTAACTCGATATATATATGGACTGTTATATGAGAGGAAATGCACATTAGAAACATTTTCAATGTAACGTTTACTATCCCCAAAGCGTCTATAACTCCGGTTCAAATCATTTGTTGAACAATCGAAAGCGGATATTGAAATGTTTTGTGAAAATTCACCACAAATACTGACCTTCGTTTCGACGCCCATAACCCATAATTTCCTCTGTTTGCTGAATTAAATCGGCTATATGTATGATCCTCGTGTATTCGTAGATTAAGGAATACTATAAATCTCACATAAATCATCAACGAAAGCGTTTAAAATGCTAAAAACACCCACCTTTTCCGTATCCTAAATTTGTCTTTTTCTACCACATGTTTTCTTAGCAGATTTTGATGACGTCATCAGTTTGGCGGTAAATTTGAAATGGTAAACAAATGTGCCACGCCTTCTTCTTCCGCCTGCTAAAATTACGTTCGGGAACAAGAGTTCATCCCCCTCCCACTCACTATGTATTTATTTAGAAAAAATTTAAATTACACAGTGACTGGGAGGGGGATTTAAATCTTCTTCCTGGGCCTATGTTGCAGAACAAGTTGATGAGCTGGTTTATGCTTGCATACAATTAGTCTATATCCAATAGACTGAATTTCCTGAGAATTCAGTCTATTGATCATTATGTCCCTCCTGTGGGAAAAACAGGAAATTTCCTGCACACAATTATCAATTTTAGGAAACTTCAGCTCCCAAAAATAAGCATTATAACAATTCAATTAAGTTGTAAGGTACAATTAAATGCCATAAAAAGTAACACAGCATATTGTCAAATGGAAATAAAGCTAGGGGAAGTAACAAATATGCAAATTAATTTACCCAGTCGGCCATTTTGAATGGCACTTCCTATGTAAACAAATAATTTTCAATCCCAAGTTTTAACATATGTGGGCTATAGTCTGAATATTTTCATTTCAAAAAAATTTCAGACTTGAGGATATAGTCTAGCATACAATATTAAACATATTTTTCAGTGCAAAAAATTCCGAAGAAAAGATTCGATCTCTCTCCAAAAAATATCACGTACATAGGTCAAGGGATAAGTAATAGTAAGTTCCCCGAATAAGAGACAGGTGCACATTTGAGATTGAAGATTGAACATTTTTCAAAAATGTGTCCTTAATCTTCTCCAAAGTGTTTTTCAAACTTAGATCATTGTTTTTTCAAATCTTTATCTTAAAACTGCATATTTCACGGTGTTCAACCCAAGCGCTCTTACACTGCACGATGGAGCGTTCAAAACTAAACAAAAAACGCCCAGGAGTAGGAAAACTGGCGGGCGGGAATGATTAGCCGTCTTACGATTTCCCCAATAATGAGAATAAGAGGTATGAGTTACTTATTTCGAGTATACCATTTGAAGGGTGTGATATTCATGTTGTACGTTTGACGTTTGAACTATAGTTATCAAAATTCACAAACATATAATATTTGTCATTCTCCTGGTCAAAACCCCTTTTGTCAAGACGTGTGATTAGTTGAGCCAAGATTAGAGCACCAACGTATATTTTGGTCAAATTTCAATGCTTCAACACACCACACATCATCGTAATTGTGATTTGATGACCGAAAATCCAGTCTTAAAAATGATGACATTCTCATATTCAAGAAACGCTGCGACCTGGTTAACGCAGTCAGACCTGTGCACCTTTCTGTATATACAACTTACTATTACTTTTCCCTTGACTTATGATCTCGTACACCAATGAGTGCTATCTAAAGAACAGCAGCAGAACTAACATGACTGTAAAACTGTTATGAAAAATATTATATATATATACAGGGTGATCCAAAAAAATGTTTTGAGCCATAATTCACTAGAATTGGTCTATGATTAATGAAGATTTTGACATTTCAAGATCATATAGGGGCATGTTGCGATTTCGCTGGGAAAAATTTTCGTCTATGGAAACTTAGAACATTTCTTTGAATCACAATATCTTTGCAACTAACAGAGGTAGAATGCTAGTTTTTACGCCCTAATGTGCGTGATTCAAAACCAAACAAAGTCAGAAAATATTTGCTCTTTAAAGGCCCCATGTAAAGTTTAAACCACTTTGGCTTATATTGTATTCTTACCCAATGTTATCAAAGTGTGATATGTGAAACTTTTTTTTTTAATTTCAAAAAGTGGTTTTTGATAGACTTTTTGTTCCAAAATTTGTGAATTTATTTAAAACCAACTTTTAGAGGTCACTCATATCTTCTAATTAGCCACAATTCATACCAATGCATGGCATTCATCCTCCCATGTTTTTTGCCGAAAAATTAAGAAAATCGATTGATAAACAAGCGAGAAATGAACTTATCAGTGCATGAAAATGGTTCTGAGAAAAATGCATTTCAAAATTTTAGTTCTCATAGAAACCAATGGTACAATGATATCTAAAACATAATTTATACTTCCTTTTAACCTGGTTAGACAATCAACATTGGTTTTTTATGAAAGTCTAACATATTTAGAAAAGATTGACATCGAAAAAAGAAATTCTATTTTTTTCAAAAAGTTTTGGTTACCTTAGTGACATCACTAATGTTTCAAAATATTTTTGATATGCTAAAACAGTGAAGTGGCCCATTAAATATGGCATTTTATTATTGAAATAGTGTGTCCTTTGTTCAATCTTTGCATTGGTGTTAAAAAGATAATCTTTTTTGAAATGCATTAAGAAATATTTGATGATTAAGAAATTTCAACTTTTTTTTGAAAAATGGCGGGAAATTTGAATATTTGAGAAATGAAATACTCACAACTTTTTTTTCAAAAAAAATTGTTTGTTCAAAAATCTCTAAAATCACTTTTTAAGTCCTGACAAATAGTAAATGAATGATAAAAAAATATTTTCAAACTTTAGACGGGGACTTTAAAAAAATTGTCAGGGGAAGGGTGTTGAAGGGTTGAAGAATCGCAGATGCTGAAAATCACATTTTATCCATTTTTAGTAATTTTTGGTTATGGCTTATAATATGAAAGGATTCCTTAAAAATAAAGGGATGAGTGGATTTAAATAAGGGAAATATGGCCCGTTGTAGGGGTTCACTTTTTTGGACCACCCTGTATTTTGTATATTCCCAGGGGTATCTTGCTTATTCTAAAGAACAGCGTAGAACTAACAGGATCTCAATTTAAACTCTTCGACAATTTTTGTTTTTTAAAACTGAACAGCTTTTAACAGTGTATGAAATTAATATTTATCAAATAGAGCCAAAGTACCAGGTATATTCCGGGAATTCAAAAAAGCACCGAAAGAAATTCCTGGGGATTGTTGATGAGCGGGTGATATATATATCTCCCGCTCACCTCAGCAGGAGATATATGAATTATTTACCAATAACACTAATAAGTATGGTCCCCTTAAACTTGAATATTCATCAGTTTAGTGTATCAATTTTCATATGACCCTTATGTATATGATAGGCATACAAATTAAAATATGTCCAGTAAAAGTAAATATTATCTGTCCAATAGAAGAAAATATATTTCACTTTTTTGTGGTTTTATAACATGGGGTCTATCTACTCGATCTGGAAGTCACATAAGAAAATAAAATTTTTAAGTTGATAAACAATTTTTGAAACTGGATGCAATTTTACACGTAGATGCCATCTTTATATTTCATAGTTAAAGAAAGATGTCACTCAAGTTACCCAGTGCCAAAGATATAAGGGGCGTCCCAAAAAACGCAACAAAGAAAAACATTGTAGAATCACAAAACCAGTCATGATTACATCAATTTCATTTAGTTTATCATGAAGCCACGTGTCTCCCCTTTCCAATGATATGTCATTTGTTCATATTCGATCATGGACCACTGAAACATCATTGTTTTTTCGTACATGGGTGAAAAGGCCTTTGTACCAAGTTATGAAATATCAATCACCCGATCCTCATTGTGTAATTGGTACTGGGGATTAAATTATTGTCACAAAATTTACATAACACAATTTTCTGATTTAGATTTCCTAAGAAAAAAGAAAAAGTGAAAAGAAAATTTAACTTTAAGTGTTCAACAGTATCCTTGTTGGTTCAGTTAACGAAACTAATATGGAAAAGTGGCATAAACAGTCGTTGTCTGTAATCTTATGAAAGATTGCTCATTAAAGATTACATTCCATGCAATTTCACATAAAATTTCACTTAAAAGTACACAAAAATATTCCAACATTTTACTCGTTATTATCCAAATCATGGCCCACAATAAAAAAAAGTAAATATAAAACATTTGTACCAATGATTACTTGTGGAATAACAGGTGTTACCAAAATAAACAATTACATTTTAAATCATGGGAAAATGTTGGAATAAAATCAATCTCAGATGTGATTGATCAAAGTACAGGCAGAATAAAAAATGCAGATTTATTAAAGGGAAAAATTTGGAGAAATCATAACTTTTTCATTGAATACAATATGACCCGACAAAGTCTTAAAAGAGTGATTGTAAAACAATTGCAAGATGATGAACACTAAAACTACATTCAATGAAATTGATCTAAATAGAGCAAATGCTCAAATGATCAGAAAATCTCTATTAAAACGTAAATTGGAAAGTCCAATCAGTGAAAGAGGTTGGAATGATACATATAATCAGTTGTGTTGGAAAGACATTTGGCTTAATGTTCGAAAAATTAAAGAACCAATGTTAAAATCACTTCAATTTAAAATGTTGCACAGAAGTTACAAGTAAAGTTTTGCTATTCAAAATGAAAATTAAAAATGATGAACTTTGTAATTTCTGTGCCTGTAAGAATACATATTATATGAGCATTTCTTTATAGAATGTAGAAAGATAAAAACGAGTCTGGGAAATAATAGATAACACATGTTCCTCAAATTGAAAAGAAATATAGAATTTAAGCACGATATTATTTTTGAATACAAGGACGAGGACAAAAGGGTTGAAAGGAAAATTAATCGTATGTTAATGGTTGGAAAACATGTGATTAGCAAATACAAATGTGGTCTATATAGTTACAATGTTGAATGTATGTTGGAACATGAGATGAGACTATGGAGCTTATAATATTGTAAAATTGTTACAATGATCGTATGATTGATGACTGATATTGATTTATTATATACATTATGTAATATGAATATGTAATGATTCTGATGATATAAAACAAATAGAAAAGAAAAAGAAAAAGAAGAAGAAAGAAAGAATACAAAAAGAATATGGTATTTTATTGCAAACGTAATGAATCATTGTAAGTTGGTTAATAAAAACAGTGGGATGGTGGTGGGGAATGGGTGGTTTGCGAACAATGTGAATGCAGTACATAAATAACTCCCGTATTCTTCAATGTCAAGTAATGGTCAGAGAAAGAAACGTATAATAAATACTGTATGTTCTTTCACATAAATTAAATATACAAAGTGAATTAAGTCTGTAAGTATATACACTTCTATAATTCAATGTAAATTAGATAATTCAGGTAAGTTCTGTTTAATAGCTAACTGGAGGTGGTTTGTCGCTGTCCAACTCTGGATTCACCAGGAATTTTTAGTTTGGTTCTTAAGACACTTCATCTGAAATGTATTTTCAGAAGAATGATAAGATAAACAGTATCATTTAGATCCCGCAATTAACTATTGGAACTTGCAATTCGTCCCATATTAATATATTTAGCAAGAAACCCAATGAAACCCTATATTGACTTAAACATGGGGATGTGCACCATTGATTAACATGGGGATACCATCATATCCTAATAGTGGTCATTGGTTTCCATTCATTATCACAAAAATACTAAAAATACACTATGACCCGAACGGACTAATTAAATAAGGATCCGTTGCCCCAAGGTTTCATTGAAAATAACATGAACATATCCAAATTGAAATTAGGTCATTGGGATTAAAAACTAAGGTCATTTAGTGCAATAAAGTTTTACTATGCAAATCATTCTGAATATCATTTTAGGGGCACTTTAATCCTCACTCATGACTATTATAAATACCAGGCCCGTAGCCAGGGGGGGGGTTCGCAGGGTTCGGGCGAACCCCCCCCCCCCCCTGGCCAAAAATTCTTTTAAAATCATGCAGTTTTTCACCATTTTGAGCACTTTTCAAGTGATTTTAGTCATATTTGGGCCAAAATTTTCAAATGTGAATCCCCCCTGGAAATTTTTGAAAACTGAACCCCCCCCCCCCCTTGGCAAATCCTGGCTACGGGCCTGAATACTGTCACTAATATTGATAAGATACCTTCACTCAATAGGACGTAAACATATAATTAACTTTACAAGTTTGATCAAAAGATAACTTCGATTTTAGTGTGTTAAAGTTCAAGTTCTGTGTGGTGAAAAACTGCATTATTATGAAAGGAGTTTTGACCTTTGGGTTCGAGTTCGAATAAAATTTAAGTCAACATCCAATTCACTGAGAACACCGGAAGCTTAAAAGTCTAAAGGAAAAACTCATGTTGAAAATGTTTGCAAAACCTGAGACGGTAAGTACTTCTCCGAATAACCCAGATGCGAGTAGAAATAATCTTGATTTACGTCATTAAAAATTCAAAATTCAGTCAAAGTAATATCATATTTGAAATCTACGTGTAAAATTACATCTAGAAATGTGGTTTTGAAAAGTGTTTATCAACTTTGAAAAATTAATTTTCTTTGAAAATGTGACTTCTAGCTCGGGGAGATTCCCCATAGACCCCATGCTATAAAATCACAAAAAATGAAATATCTTTTCTTTTAGTGGACAGATAATATTTTGCTTTACTGGACATATTTTCATTGGTATAAGTATCAGACACATAAGGGTTATATGAAAATTGAGCCACTTAAATTGATAATATTCAAGTTTAAGGGAACTTTCTTATATACCTGCCATGTTAATTGACCCGAATCAGCCACCTGGTGGTGAAACTGATAACTATCTACTCGCATTTGGGTAATTGCATCAGCATATTACTCGTATATTATTCGTCACGATAGAATAAAATCTATCCCACGAATCATAAAACAAAATGTTGTGATTTACAAATTTTCGATGAATGCGTACATCTTCATCAGGTTAAGTTTACCTGAGTTAACCTGATGAAGATGTATGGATAAATCGAAATTTTGTAAATCTCATCATTTTGGTTTGTTTTTAACACTTATTTACATATTACCACAATTCATAAGATGCACAATAAGGGTTTAAACCAGATTAGTTTTAAAATGAAAGAATAAAACACGTATTTATATTTCATTTGGAAGGTCATTGACTTTCTCGTTGTTAAATAATACATGTGAGGGCCAACAAGAACTGTAACTCTGCAGATTTGATAAAATCCGGACTTTGGCCAATTAAATTATCTTCATGTAGAAAGAGAAACAATTCATAAATCTCACATACTTGAGGATACAAGTCGAAAGCCTTGATCTAATAAAAAAAATCTCTGAAGAAATGAATAAAGTTGTTTTAATATATAAACCAGAGAGATGAACTTACACAAAACTGTTAAAACGTTCCATATTTTAGTAAATATGTTGATGTATGAGATATATTAGATTAGCATTTTGGGTGCATCACACGTAAAGTATATTGTAACATATGTAAATAACAAGTTTTTGCATAAATTGTAAATATTATGATAACAACATATTTATTTTGTAATGACTAATATGTTAGGTCATGACATCTATAGAGTCATTAAAAGATATATGATGCGTAATACAATTTACATTATACAAATGGTACATTGTACACTCTCCTCCATAAGTTTGGCAACCTTAGCTCCCCCATTGAACTACGTGTAAAAGCCTCTTTACGTTTGAATTTTTATTTACTTAACCTGCGATGAGATTACTTATAACATTGATGGAAACGTAACTTGACTTTATTTTCAATACCTCCAAATTTTCCCAATTACAATAGGTCGAAAATTGATGACTTTGATGAATTTTTGAAAATTGACATACCCATGTTAACCATGGGAAATGGTAGGTTTGCCGCAAGTCATATAACAGAATATCCATCCATCCGAGTCCTTGCAAAAACACAAGTTAGGTAGGCAATTGAATTTGCATGACACAAACATGAAGCATGTCTATTCAGGGGATAGAAACGCGTCCGTATTTTCGTCCGACATCACACTACATTATCGTTTATAACTTATTTGGAATTATGCAGGGCTTATTTTTCAAAATATTTTTCTTGCATTTAAAGACAGAATTCAGAATTTTCCATTCAGACTTGATAAAGTGCATAGTCTACACATAATATTTGCAAAGAAGAGGAAATTGCAAAGGCTAACGGTAAAGATCAATGCATAGGTGGTAGAAGGAAAATCATGTTAGTCACAGATGGATCACTATTTTAAGAGATCAAATGATAAATTCATTCTGAAAATCCTGGAAGAAAAAACTGTTGGATTTCAAAGTTATCTTATATAGTGACATATACTATAACAAACACTTATTTGAACGTCATAAGGTAAGTAACAGAGGCTGAATTTACAAACTCAATATCAACATATTTGTATATCAATCTATATGGCGGCTATTTTGAATCGGGCATCTATATATCATTCTTAGAAAAAGAAAAACTGAAAAAAAAAACTGAAAATCGAAACTGAAAAACTGAAATCTATTTTCCTTTTTACTACAGCCATTATTGTTTCAGACAATTTTTTTAAATTTCAAAGATTGTATCATTTAGAGCGATATATTGGACACATTTTCTGAAAAAATCAAAAGATTCTGTTCATTGACCTTTCTTGAGCCCCTACTTTTAGCTACTTTTCAGTCACATTTTCAGAGGGCTAAAAAGGTTATTTCATCATGTTTATGGTCAATCTGACCATTTCCATTGTGTTCCCGGTCATGTAAATGATATGTGGAACTAGTTGAGTGGATGTCCAAACAGAACTCTGTTATCTTGGTTCAAAATATTTTCAAAATCCAGCATGGTTTTGTCATTTTTTCTTTTGTCATTTCCTGTTACCTCCATGGCGCCTAAATGAGTTACCAACCAATGAGTTACCAACCAGATTATGGTAAAGTACAAGCCAGAGTGCACTTTGGATTTTTTTTCCAATTTTGAAAAGTAAACCACTGAATAGTCTAGTTATTCAAACATTCTGAAGAATTATCAACCCTCAATTAATAGTCTAGGTACTCTAATGCATCATTTGTGCAAGAATGAAAGATGTAGATGATGTTTGAAATGAGTTATGTTTATCTGAAAATAGCACATGGTCATGAAATTCATCAAAGTGCACCCTGACCCAAGGCCTTGTATGACCTGTGAGAAGTGCTCATACGTAACATTTTCATCACGCACTCATTTAATTGAGTAACGAAATGCGACATATAACAATCAGAGAGGGAGATCATGTGGAGAGAGATCGACTTGATTATATAGTATTACCTAGATAAGCAATATGACAGCACTAAAATATGACAGTACGTGTGAAACATAAAACATGTTGTAGTGAATTGTCTTATATTGTGTGATGTACAGCAAAGAATAAAAATGCAAATTGAAAATGTTGTAACATAAAACCTCGATTCGAAAAAAAAATTCGAACGCCATTGGGATCAGCCAAAAGGGTTCGGATTAGTAGCTGTTTAGATTTTTTACAAGTGAGTCAATGGTACCGAGAAAGGGTGTTCAGATTTAGAGGTGATCGGATTAGAGAGGTGTTCAAATATTATACCATCTTGACTCACAAGGTTTCAGTTGCCCTTACCATCTCTAGACCCAGTGGAAAGAAACGATGCAGTTATACAAGTTTCACTATGAATGGAAAGCAGGCCAGTGTTTCCCATACAATATTTTAGCAGATATATTTTCCCCCAAAATATTGAACATCCTAGTGAAGTCATTGAAGGTGCAGAAAGATGCAGAAATATTCAAATTCATAAGAAATGGAAAGATAAGAGGGTGTCAAGTTTTTCGAATTTATTCAAAAACTTTTGAGAAAAAATAAGCCGAGAGATGTGGTAAGCAAATAATAATGTGATGATATTTTAGAATCGCTGTATAACTTAAATATTCACATATTAAGGTTTTGTTTTCCAGAGATTAGAATCACAAATGGCATACCTACAGTAGGGCATTGACTATAAACCCGGAAATTAAAACAGTTCCACAGATTTTAACTCCTTACATGACTATTAGAGGAAAATCTCAAAGATGGGGATTTTAACTAATCTGATACTTGATTACTGGCTGTATGGAGTAACAATAGCATTTGGATATATTCTAGCAATTCTCCTTTATGATACAAAAAATGATAAGAATAGAGCTGGTGTGGCCAAAAATGATGAAACGGATGAAAGATATGCATTCCCTGATTCTACAAGTGATGCTAAAGATAAGGAAGAAGCTGATGGTGGCTTAAATCTTGAAAATGCTGATACACGAGTGGACCATGAAGCAGGAAAGGAACACATACCTTTTACCATAGAGAGACTATCTAAGGCTGAGATGACAAGGAGATCCCAAGAATTTTATCAAGAAATGAATAAAAGAAGATCGGTGAGGTTTTTCAGTGATGAACCGTTTCCACAAGAAGTTATGGACAACATTATAAGAACAGGAGGTGAGTTCAGTTTAAGGGCTTCCAATGAATTTTCCTAGATCAACTTGATCACATTCACTTATTTTGTCCTGAAAGAAAGTGGTTTTACGATTTGGAAAATTGGATTTTTGTATTGTCCAAACGATGGCCCTTATGTTTTTCCAACTGGAAATCATGGGACGGAACAACGATTCTATTAGTTTCACACAGATCTTAATATAATTTGGGTTTTTGTCATTACACTGTTTAAAACGATGCAGAATTTTTTACCAAGGTTAATAAGGGTCATGTCGTAAATATGCTTTTCTTAAGGATAAAAAAGAAAAAGAAAAATATAGAAACAACCAAAATAATCCAAATATGATATTTTGAAAAGACGTGATGCGGAAGGTCTCTCTAAATATGATCACTTAATCATTGCATGATCTGTTCTGTTTGTAAAATGTTTTAAAGCCCTAAAAATTTTGGGCCCAATTTTTTGTAAGGCCTCAAAAATGGGCCTTTTTAGCCAAAACTTGGCCTTTTGGTCCTATTTTAGGCCAAATTATAAAAAAATGGGCCTTAATTTTTAACTTGGTCCGAATTTTTAGGCGCCCAACATTTTTTCCTTAATTAAAATGTGCCCTCCCCTTGAAAGATTCTGGATCCGTCAGTAGAATGTATTTATGTCTTATCCCATAAAACTGTCAATGGGTGTATCGTTTGGGCATTGTTATTGCAAATGATTGTGTTGTTGACCCTGGGAATAATCTTTTCTGTTTTCTTCAGGGACATCTCCTAGTGGGGCACACACTCAACCTTGGACATATGTAGTGGTCAAAAGCCCTGAAATCAAAAAGGAAATTCGTGAAATAATCGAGGAAGAAGAGGAAGTGAATTATCGAAGAAGAATGGGTGACAAATGGGTGCAAGATTTAGCTTGTATTGGGACAGACTGGAACAAGCCATATTTGGAGATTGCGCCATATTTGGTGATTGTGCTGAAGCAGTCATATGGGATAGCCCCAGATGGCTCCCGATTGGTCCATTATTACAATGAGATCAGCACTTCCATAAGTGTTGGGCTTGTATTGGCAGCCATACAGGTAAGACACTATCTGTTATAAAATGGTTCATCAACATATCTAAATAATTTGTTAGTAACCAGCCCAAGTATATTGAACAGCCTTTAAAATTCAACATGAACTAAATCACATTTTAAATGGACATTTTATTATATTTTTGGTGAATACCTGACGTTGTTTTAACCTCATTTGAAAAATACTTGTATTTGTATTCATGACCGATACATTTTTCATAATTTTCATGTTATTTGACTTGTAGTTGTGGATTAGACCAATTATAAAATATCAAATTATGATAAAACAATTTCGAATATTTTCAGGAAGCAGGCCTAGTCACATTGACCAGTACACCACTGAACGCTGGTCCACGTCTGCGTAAGCTTTTGAATCGTCCCATCAACGAAAAGGTCATGCTACTATTGCCAGTGGGATACCCAGCCCCTGACGCGACTGTACCTGCATTGAAACGCAAACCACTGGAAGAATTCATGACTGCGATTTAACAAAAAGTACAAGATGCAACATTGTGCAGTGTGACATTAATTAAAGCAGTTACCAGCTAGTTGGTTAGCTGGTTGAACAATAGTGCGATGCGATGAAAATGTTAAATGTAAGATGTAAAACGTTTGCATATTTTGGATTGCTAGCATTTCAGCTAACCATGTTATTTTTGAAAAAAATAATCATGACTCTAAATATGCCTTTTAAACTATTTTGAATGAATACACTAAATTTCATCTACGAGAGTATTAATGTACTGTGTCCATTTGATTGGGTTAATGGACTCATTTTCATTGCCTCGCACTTACTCGAGTCTCTAACTTACAGCTGGAATATAGAGAAGGCTTTGGACCGAAGTACACTCGCGCTGTTCAAATCTATGACTTTGTTTTGTGTCAAATTCTGAAAAGGCTAAAAAACATACTGGTAAAAGTTACCCAGTGTATTCCTTCTGTCATTATGTAATGCTTTGATGGATCAAGATGAAAAACCCAGTGTTCAAGAAGTTCTTGAAATTTTTATTGCAAATAAACTGAGAAAACTGGATTTTGTTCAATATTGAAATTCTGAATGTCTATCTCAGACTTGAACATAGCATGAGTGTAGCGCGCAGCTGGCCTGCGTATCAGCTGTAGCATTTTATGGGGATCTACCTCGTGCGTAAACGTTTTTTTTCTTACGATAACGACAAACATTCTACCGTTTTCCCGTAAGTCTTTACTTCGTCCGAAATAAAATCTACAGTTTTAAAACATGTGTCATCTTCATGATTCGAAAGACTAAACACACGTTAAGGACGGTTTCAGTAACTTTGTGTACAAGGGGCAGATGAAAAATACAAGAGGCGGCATTCAAAATAACCAATTTTACGCTCCCGACAATGCAAATTCTTGTTATTTTAGAGTCCATGGACTGAAAGAAAGATGTCCAAGGTTTGTCAAAGTCATTTCCACGTGTGATGTGACAAGACATGGGCTCCACAAAATAACACCTGGAACTGTGGAATGACTAGGGCAACTTATATAGAATGTCATTTACCTTTTATAAGATAACTTACCCTTACACAGGTTGCATTTCACAAATCCAAATGCACCCGTTGAATTGAACACTTTTAATAGAAATCAAAATCTAGAATTGTCATTATTAAAATGAGAGTGATGTATTAATAGATGATTCACTTGTGATTATGTGTATATCAGATTCATTTTAGTTTTTACCGCCTCCAGACATTGCCAGAAATGGTGACATACAGGGTGTTCCAAAAGTAACAGGACTGGTGCCGTTTTTTTGTTAAATATGCACCAATTGTCTTCAAAATTTTACATAATGTACCTTCATGTTTTGTAACTAAAATTGCCGAATTAGATAATTATTGTCGAAATTGATTTAGAAATCGGCCGATGACTAATCATCGGCCGGCGCCCGGCGCATATGTGGCCAAGGCATTAGAGAGAGACCGAGGTGGGAGATATCCCCCTCCCCTCTACACCAAACTTGTTCTCACTACGTTTTCGAAAATTGCCTGAAAGGCCTCCTCACACATTATTAAGGAAAACATATCTACACATTTTGCGCATTTAACCATTTGATAACATATTGTGGATCTAATCTTAATTTGTTAAAGTGCCCGATAAAGTATAAAATGCGCATGCGTCCAGGTGTTGATAAACTATAAATAGCGAAAATCCAGGGTTTGTCACCACAAGGTAAGCCAGGACGTGTTGAGAGAACAGCTAGTGTTGATATTGAATTTATATGTAGCCAGATAAGTTTCCTTATTGAAATTACATATGGTTATTAGCAATACTTTGTAGGTGCTAAATAATAAAATATTTAGAGTATATATGAGAGAAATTGGTCATTTCGAACCTGTTGAAAAGTTTGTGGCTCTCGGCTACACCGGGGAATTTACTCCCATGAGTACACACATAAATGTGGGGTTCCCCAAGAGGTACGCGACAAGGTGACCTGGCATCAAATGTGCGACTAAATGCTACTATCGAGAAGATAAAATAACGAATACGACAATAAGTTATTGCATGTGACAATTCCGAGCCTTCATCTCACTGAAGTATTTTGAAGTGAAAATAGGATTTTTGTTTTGATACATGGATTCAGATGAACGTAACTTTATTCTGACAACTATAATCAAAACTGAACAAAATTGATTGTACGTATTCAGATAATTTATTGTTTTACAATGTTTTGATTGGCTAAACGAATGAAACCAACAAATCATGACATGTAAAATGACAATTTTGAAATGTAAAATTTAAAAGTTACAAACACAACCTCCCTATCCACTCTTTGGGAGCCCTAGTAAATTAGTAATATGTACATGCAGCAGTGGTAGTGTGCAGCTTATCATCACACTACGCTTTGTATTCTAAAGCCTGTTGTTTGTAATAACACTGTTTACTCAACGTATGTTTTGTGTGTGGGCAGTCAACGATAATCATTGTTTTATCCCGGTTATATGACCTCGGCAATTATAACAAAACCGTACTAAACGAAAAAACGCAAATAAGAGAAAGCTTTCACACACATATAAAAAATGAACTAGTCTAATCCGCCAGTATAAACTCTGTGCTATACGTAGCCGGGTCAGGCGCACACTTTAATGTGAATTCACACCTTCATTTGCATGGAAGACTTTGATAAAATCCTTTAATGATGATTTTTGTTAGAAAGCTGATGTTTGGCTACTTCGAAATTCCAAATTGAACAGTCTACTAAGAATACCATGTTGTAAATATTGTTTTCAATATGTCGAGCTAGGACTGCTCAAACAAATTCGCTTTTTGTAGCTACAAGTATTTAATTTCAATAGATGATAAACTTCTCAATATAAGAAATTACCCTCATATAAGACATTGTTGCAAGGTGTGTTGCAATGAATGTGGCACCCCGCATTCCCGGGCCCGCATTATGTATTCTCGAAGAAAGCCATCATGATAAGCCATGACATCTCATTTCTTCTCAGCCCTGTGTTTCAGGTGAAACAGAAAGATGCCATGAGTATCAGAATGGAAGAAAGCATATATTTGCATTGATGGTGTATAGATAGTTATTTTATATAGTGTTTCTAGTTGTACGTGGAAACCTATTCTAACCAGGAAGAATATTGCAACTTTTTTCAAGATCCTAAAGTTGCAATTCTCGTTATTGTGTTTCATTGTAAAGACGCACCTGTGAAAATGCGTCGCTTGTACAAAGGCGTAGTTCTACATAAATTTAAGATACACTTTTTTAAACTTGTACGTGAACGTGTAGAATTATGGACCTGGTGGATTTTTTCTCCCTTTTGTACTGTTAATACTTGGCCGGTTGAGTATATAAAGGTATACATGTCCCAGCTTTTGGTAAGTGGGGGTCAAACCTCCTCCCCCCATCCACACATACACTTTTTATCGTGCTTAAGTAACTTCGCATTGTAATTACAAGGGTGTTATAAACGAGACACCAGGATGATAATGTCGGGGTACAACATATTTTGAGAAAATTAGGGCCCAAATCTTGAGAAAGAGTCGAAGGCATGCGAGGCGAATTCTGGAAACTCGGGTTCGGGAAAGCGGGGTTCACTGTTTGGTTCCGTTGACACGTCCTGTGCGAAACTACATTCATAATTTATCCGACAGTCGCTTTGATAATGTTTCTTTATCTCGTCTGCGACTCGATAAAGAGGAATTATTAAATCTCATCAAGAATGGACGATCTTGCACAGGTACTCATATAAGAACCTCTATATCTTTTTAACACCAATATATAACGGACACACCATGTTAAAAATAAAATGTTATATCTCATGCCAATTTAATGATTTAGCATATCGAAAATATTTTCAACCTAAGTGACCACATCGTGACATCACTTAGGTGGCAACATTTTTCAATGTCAATCTTTTCTAAATATGCTAAACAATAAACCAATTTTGACTGTCTAACCAGGTTAAAAGGATGAATATGTTTTTAATATTAGTTTACCATTGGTTTCTATGAGAATTAAAATTTTGAAATGCATCTTTCCCTGAACCACTTTCATGCATGGATGAGTTCATTGCTCGCTCACCTATCAACCAATTTTCTTGATTTTGTCGGCAAAAGAACAAGTGAGGATGATTGCTATACATCGGTGTGAATTATCGCTTTAAAGGATTAGTGTGACCTCTTAAAGTTAGTTTTGAATAAATTCACGATATTATAAACAAAAAGTCCTTCAAAAACATTTTTGAAATTAATAAAAAGTTTCACATTTCACGCTTTGATAACATTGGATAAGACAAAAATATAAGCCAAAGTGGTTTAAACTTTATATGGGGCCTTTAACTGATTAATACAATTTTACACCCATTGGAAGGACTGTACTTACCCTTTGCATTCGTTTGACTTCACTTCTTAAAAGAGAGCTTCTTCGTCTTCAGTAGTTTAACTAGACTCTGCACGCACCGACGCAGGGTAGACTGTACTGTGACTGGTTGGACAGAGTTGTATCAATCATACATGTAACTGCATGTCCAGTGAAAAATAACCAACTCTGATTATACCAAAGGTTGGAATTTGAATTATCATGCACATGATAGTGGTCAGATAGTGATCCAAAATCCATAGCCCAAACAGGTACAACAGTTTACTACTATAATGAGATCAAGTGATCCTTACGATTATAGTGAGTTCCATTGCAGTTCGAAACTGAGGTACAAATCATAGACAAGGAAGTGCAAAACAAGATCGCTGAATAAAATAAAGGATAGTCTATAGAAGACTTATATTTTCCCCCAAAACTTAGACAATATTTGACTTCTAACAAACGGCGAATTATCGAAAACAAACGGCGATTTCGGACACTCGCCCCCTGCTATTGAAAGCCCAGCATCATTAGTTAGTATTAATCTAGAATACTGGTTTACCAAAGTGTCGTCCTATAGCGTCCGAGAAATCAAACATTATCATGATTATACGTTCATTAAAATGAGAATGAAATTTCAAAGAGTGGCGCGCGGTCGCAGTGCGTCATTCATAATCTTAGATTGCATACATTTTTTCATACATTTGAACACGTTCTGCACATCATCAAAAACCAATCATAACTATCACAAATGACGCAAAATTGATGGATACGATTGTGAATGCTCCCGGGATGCTCACGAACACTGTACTTAGGTCCTGCAAAGCCTTCTCCATATTGTACTCAGTAAACCGAACATGGTTTACAAGCTTACTACAGTCCCGGGACTACAGTGTTACTAGCTTACTTCGGTCAAAAGCCTTCTCTATATTCCAGCTGTAAGCTAGAGACTCGAGTAATTACTAGCCAATGAGCTTGTCGGCAGTATCATGGACACGTCGGGTGATAGAGAGCTTGCTGGTATGTTCAGCTCAAATGCTTAGGGTACATTGAGATCTGGTTAAGTTTACCCGTGCAGTGGCGTAGCGTGGCAATTTTACTAGGGGACGCAAAATTCCAAAATTGGGATGGGGGAGGGGGGGTTTATCCGATACGCATTCATTTCCACTTGAAATTTACTCATAAGTACTCATTATAAGTCTTGTAGAAATTCAAGCAAAAATATTTAAAAAAATAATTTTGAACATTCAAAAAATCTATTATCGTTGTAAAAATCTTACCTGAATAATTTACACTGAACAAAAAGATGTCTGCAGCAGACAGCACTGTTGATTACTCTTATTCAATGTCTTCCGATAAGATTTATGGATAAAAGGTACAGCCAAATCTTGCTTGAATATTATTATAGTATATAGATATTAGCGTAATTGATTAACTATCCCTAATCATTAAATTCAAAAGATACTTACGCCAAAACTGGAGCTGGATTCGGCACATGAGTGATTTGGTTTTCTGTATAAAAAGTCATTTTTCTCCTTTCCTACCCCATTGGAGCGCCATTTGGCTTTTGGGAAGTGAATTGGGACTAAATATTTACAAGGTAGGTCTTGATTTATCTGAAAACATGCCAAAGTTCAGTGGGAAATCTCATTTTAAGCTGGCGGCGGAGTGATTTTGACCTTGGTGATTTTACCAGAATTCTCTGAGAAATCTGACGATAGAGGGGGTTAGTGTCTTCAAGTTTATTTATCTCAAAAATTCGGTGGACAACCCATGGTAAGATTGTTATAGCAGTCTAGGCGAGTCTCTCCCGAACACTGTGGTATGTTGCACTAGGCTTGGATACTAATCGTTAATAAGATACAGGGTAAAATGTTATAATGGCCACCTATGGGAAACTCTACTGTGGTCTTCAACCTGTGTACTTAATACGGGGAGGTCATATGGATTATATAAGAGTATTCACGAAATTATGAGAGTATAATTTGAAAGAATCATTAATGACATGTCGGGACTAAAATAAACACCTAATTTCTATGGTTGAACCCTGTTCAAAGATACGAAATGATAAGGTTGAACAATGGCTTTTCTTATTAAAACTTGAGAAATTTAGAATTTCCAAATATTCAGATAAACATTGGATTGTTCCAGTGGACGCATTTGCGTACTTTGCGTAAACGACGCTACGCCACTGCCGTGTCCAGCCCGGGGGCCCGGAGTCGTATCAGAGCCCGTGGCTCGTACCCGAGATTGGATTGGCAATGTCACTGCATCAAGCTGGTGCTGCCATCTCACAATAAACCTTTGAACTAATTACCTGACAGGTGCCCGGATATTACAATTCAATATGGCGGCCAGCGAATTTCAAAATCTTTGATATCGTTTTATTCGAAAACTACAGTTATAGGTAAGTTACATTGTTTTATTAGACAGTTGGTGGTATTAGCAACTATAAATTTGAATTTATAAATGTATTTATGTTTATTTTTAGGGCATGGAAAACCTATAAAGTTATCTAAAAGTCTACTTCAAAATCGCCCACCCAAAATTGTCGAGATTGTTTTGAATTTCAATTATTTGTTCAAATATTTCCTGGTACATTGATTTATCCAAGAATAATTGGGTTATTTCCGTAACTTTCCAGTATTAGATTAAAGTAATTAAATATCATATGATTCTAATATTATTTTTAGTTCTTTAGAATAGATCTGAAGTTCTATATTATATGGAAAATGCATTCATATTTTACAAATGAAATAATTGTTTATCTAGGATTGCTTCTTATTTGGCTAATAAAATGTGTGGCCTCATTTGATGCTTCTCCAATTTCTTCATGACCACTGATGTTTGATCGTTCCATTTGCCAGATAAGGCGGGTGAGGAAAATTGCTCGCTTGAAAAAAAAATTTAGAAGGTGGTCTCAAAATAACCATAAAGGTTAGCTTGAGTCTAGGAAGTGCTTACTGCTTTAATCTCGATTTGAATGTTTTATTGCGTTTGTCCCATATTGATAAAAAAAGTAGGCATAAAACTATGAACGATATAATTCCAAAGTGGCTGAGTTCGTTGCTACTCAAATTCAGAGACGATCAGAAGAAATATCTTCATTTCATATTGTCAGATTCAAATATACTTTGATAGGCTTGATGGACTTAATCTTACTGCAGCATCATGAATGTGTTTGCTACATAGTTAAAGGTATTAAGATTGCTTTCAGATCTTCTAGATTCATTCAGGCTGATAGGCTATAAGGCATTTCATAATATCACTTTCACGTACAATTTCTAGTTTAAATGAAACTAAATTTTCATTCAAGAAAAATCAGTTGGAGCATAATAGAATATAAGGATTGGATTAAATTCTCTGTGTCATAATTTTAAATACTATATAACAACATACAGGTGCATTGCAATCCTTACAATAATTCCCACAATATTATCATTTAGAAATTGCTCTAAGGGCATGTTTCAGAATTTAATCATACATAATAACACTTAATTATAGTGTTGTGATTGTATTTCCATTTTGATTAAAAATTTCTCTAGGAGAAAGGCCATGGTAAACACAAAGTCTAATATATGTTTTCTTTTTACTTTGATGTATCGTTCAATAAAGCAAGGTACATATATATGACATAACTGTTTGTTTAAGGCCAGTTTGTCATGGTCTCAAGCATATTTGTTGGAACAGTTTTTATTACTCTTTAAAAGATAAATGATTTGAAATTCTGTCAAATCCACTTAAACAAGATCATTTCCTGCTGTAGCATATTGATATATCACCACTGGTCAGTGTATGAACTCAGTGACTGTAACGGTACATAATGTAACACTTTACATGTGCTGAAACATTTTTGTCATGTTTATTCCTAGTAAATCTTAGGATGATTCAGATGCTTATTATGGTCATTATAAGTAGTGAACACATGGTTTGTCAAAAGAGTGAATCATTATTGATCCCTACCTGCTATCACAGTATTTAAGTATGTGTACCTCATATTTGAAGTAGAATAAAAGGATCAGGCCTTCAGCCAGAGGGGGGGGGGGGCAGAGATCGGGAGGGAGGGTTGAGAAAATTATTTTAAAATCATGCAGCTTTTAACCATTCTGAGCAATTTTCAAATGATTTTTGGCCAAATTTAAACCCCCCGGGAATTTTTTGAAAAGTGAATCCCCCTTGGCAAAAGCTGGCTAAGGGCCTGGAGAATACTACTGCATTATGCCTCTTGGATAAGAAAAATTACAGTATTGTCAAATCTTATAAGCTTTCTGAACAGATTTCAGACCCAAAGGGCCAAGATTTTTAGATGTTATGAGTTAATTAACTCTTGTGGAAGTTAATGAATCAAAGGTTCAACACATTAATCAGTGGGTAAATAAATCATCTCTGCATATCTTCATCATTGGTAATGGGATTACCATGTTAAGTCAACAAGTCTGCTCTGGGAACACCTTCATTGGATAAACTACAGATAACAGTAATAGTAAATATATGTTACAGTCAGAAAATTAACATGTATCTTGGGAAATGTGTGATATTACATATATTTCAAAAGAATATATCATAATCTATTACATAATCCATCATGAAAAATGCACTATAGGAGAAATAGCCCAAAAGCAAAATGTTAATATACTATACAAATAATAGCTATATCTAGATCTAGAAAAATCAGAATACCTATATTTTCATCTTTTTGTCATGTTCCTTTTGAAAATAACTTTCCCTAAGAAAATTGAATTAGCATTTCTAATCATATTATTCGAGCAAGTCTAATCATATCTGTTGATTTAATTATGGTCAGATTGAAGAACTCTCAATTAGATGTTCAGAAGTTATGGGAGACTTGGACTGGTATTAGCAAAACTATATCACCCAGAATTCATTTGTTCTATATTATGTACCACTAAGATTGATTCAGTATTAATATTTGCTGGAATTGGACATCAATTACTGATAACAACATCCTGACATTTGGAACCGGAATCCATCTTTTACTAACCTTGTGTTTGCTGTTATCCGAGAGAAATATGGATTCCGATTTCAAATGTCAGAGTGTTATAAAAGTATGCGTTGACAATTTCAGAACTTTTTTTATTTAGTCTTTATTAGTATTTAGAGTAGTAGGTGTTGTTGTCCAGTACTTTTGCTATTAAAAGTTAGACATGCATAGAAAACTGACTGTAATCTTAGAATATTTTTAAAATTACTAGTAAGCTTACATCATACCATCATAGAATAAATGATAGTAATTATGTACAATTATATTGTTAGGTATAATTAGATATGTTTAATGACATAGCATAATGATAATTAATAGATATAATGATTAATTGAATATTAATTTAGCTGTAACTCATATGATGTGCTAACTGTCCCAACTAGTTCCGGCACTGTGTTTGTGTCACTGTGGTAAATGTAATCCTTATCATATTCATATATGTAGCCAGGGGGGGTGCAACATTGCCATTTATATGAAACCTGGATGAAGGTCATAGGAATTCTGGGAAACCCGGAAGTAAACAACTACAACGGAACATGTAAGATTGGTTATATTTTTTTTATTGAAAATAAAAATTATGAAGCAGTTTGATCAGGTGCAGTTTCATGGACTCTCATAAGTTGAAGTTCGGTAATTTCGGATGTTTCTTGAACAAAATGGTTTTCGGTTGGGAGTTCCACAACCGGTCCAAGCCCTAATAAACATTCATGTTATTTGCTGTATCTTCCGAAATTAAAAGCACTAGAAACTTCACAACAGGGTGTCTCACGGGGAGTAGATGTTAATACAAATGGTTTTTGGTTGTGAGTTCCACAACCGGTCCGAACAAGTGATTGTTCATGTTATTCGCTGTATCTTCTGAAATTAAAGGCACTAGAAACTTCACAACAGGGTGTCTTAGGGGGAGTAGATGTTAGTACATGTATAATGTATGACAAATGTAAGAATCCTATAATTTTGCATCAAAACTTGAAATGACTTTTATCTAACATAACTTGGATAATTAGAGATGTTCGATGGGGAGCATACTTGCAAGACCACCCTATCGTGGTGAGGAGAACAGAAGAAAATAATAGCAGTCAAGTAAAGTATCTTTTGGCTTGCATCTTGTCCTCATCAAGTACAGCACTATATATTTTCAGCACCATCATTATTTTTCTCTGCAAGATACCAGGCTGTAAATTCAGCAAAAACTTGGCCCCAAGCCAGTGTTTTGGGAGAATTTGGCTCAAAGCCAATACTGTTCTTAAAATTACCATGGACATATTTAGTCAACTTCTTTTAAAATATGTCTGTAAAAATACCATGAGATATTGAAACTGGTAGATTTTATAATACTGAACTGATATGGACAGACATTAGAATGTGTTGTGCATGTTTTCTTGTTGTTTGATAAGATGCCTAATAATTACATGCTTGAAGTAACGTAAAATGGCCCAGTGGGATTGTTTGCTGATAACAAATATTATGGACTGGTCAGTTGTAAGAGTTTTTTCCTCTGAAAACTCACTTTTTTATGATTTCTTTTTTCAATTAAAACCATAAAGAGTGAATGTAATCTTTTCCAAGTACAGTACTTTCAGCTACATGTAGTTGAAGTATACACATGTACACGGAACATGAACTTCCAACCAATGTGTTGACGAAATTCCAAGCACTTACAATTAAAAGCACTTAGGTTATTTTATTATTTGAGTACTTGATGAAAGTTGAAACATGTCAATTCTGAATGTAAGATTTTCAGCTTTTTGGGATGCAGGCAGTAGCAGTTTTCCTTTTCAATGATTGTAGCTTAGTTCCATGTCTAAACATTCTTACAACTTGAGATAAGAACCCTTCAGCTATAGGGTAGCAATGTTACCTTGCAGTCACATTTTGATCTGGCAAATATGAAAATCAATTGAAATAAATTCTAGATATGTACCTTGTATATTATATCTAAGATAGAATAAAACACACAATAATTTTGATAATTTCTCTTTGATAATATATTGTCAACAATTGAAGAAAAAAGATGAATATTCTGCACAAGGGAGGGGGTCGGGATATCTTTTAGTTTGGTGAAGTCATAGCTAACATCTGCGGCATACAACAGCAACCAGATCACTTGGAGACTGCATACATGGTAACAACACTATAGGAAATAAAGACATGTGAAACAGATTATAACAAACAAAGAAAAAAATGATTTGAATCAACCATTTAGCAACAAGGATTTTTGGGGTTTTACGACATGTGTAACAAAGTTTTTGTCAAGATTTTCAAACTGAAGCATATTTGAATATACATATAGTATTAAGAAATTGAGCCGAGCCAAGTAAAAAAGGGTTGATTTTATACAGACAAAGCAGGTGTATCTCAGATGATCTTGTCTTATATCTTATACAAGCAAGAATACCATTTTG